GTTTTAATTCTTCACATTTTCGAGCCAATTCAAGTTCTTTTTGTAATGTATCGCAAAGATTTTGAGCTAATTTCTTGCATTCTGTTCTTGAACGAGTATTTTCCCCAATGCAATTGATTGCCTAGCCATTTCGAGTTCTACCACGGTTTTATCCCATTTTTGTCGCAACTGTGTATTTTTTTCGTTGATTTTTCGAATTTCTTGTTCCCATCGAATTCGATTATTTTCAGCCATTTTTGTGTTTGAAAAAAGTCAATACTGATTTTCAAAATGATTTGTTGAATTTTGGGAAAATGCGACTTTTAATTTTTTTTCTTTCAAGACTCGGTGAAAGTTGAACTACGACTAATTTTGAAAGTTCTATATGTACCGTCCATCAAATATACAAAATATAATTGTTGACTGAAATCTGACTCTGCAAAAAAATATTCGATATTTTTTCTCTGGTAAACTTGTTTATTTCAATCGATATCATATTAAACAATTGTTCATCGTTTTCAAATTGAATTTGTTTTCTTTTAATCGCTCAAGCGAATTGATTTTCTTACAAAAATACCTTGTGACTCATTTCATGGTCTGTCGTCTGTATTTTTCCTATTTGTGTGTCTTAATTTGAATTTATTTGAATTGACAGTGATTCAATGATCGATCATGCTTAATTAAAGATCTTTTAATGAAAAAGTAAAAACACGATCGATTTTTTCGAGACATTTTAATTGTATATAATTAGTCAAAATCATGATTTTTGCACTTGATAATTAAATTTATCAAATAATTGTTCATATCTCATATAATCTATACTAAGTAGCTTTGTCAATTTTAAAGAAATGAACGTGATGTGTTTCTTTTTTTAAAAAGTTGGCTTGTGGCGACACATAGTGTACGTAACATTCAAAACCGTAACAAGCTCAAGAATCGGACTGCAAGACCGATGCATTTCAACTCTCTTTGTCTTTTTCTCCATATATTTGTATTTTTCACTAATTTTTCATTCGAACACAAAGATGGCGCTAACATACAATATAACGTTGATTTTGACAAAATATTCGCTCCATTTAAATACATTATTATAGATATTAAGCTTGCCTTTTACGATTCGTTTTTTTTTGTTTTATGATAATTGAATAATGAAGAAATTGAACGATTAAAAAAGATACAGAATAGAGCTTTATTTAAATTGCGATTTCCGTGTACGTCTACTTTCAAAATATGTCCAAACTTCGGAAAATTTTATATTGAAAAATGACATTTATGAAAGAAGGTCTTTCGAATTTTAGATTCGAATTTCCACGAATACTTTTAAATATAATGTAACCCACAGCAAGAAGAGCGCATGGTAATATTAAGTAAAGGAACACGTTAGTGAGTATTGAACTTTCTTTGATATTGATTTCGCATATATAATATAGATTATAGGTGCAATAATGATCATTCCACTTTAATATGTTGTAACCTTTGATCTCCACACATTCCTCCCCCAGACCAAGATTATCGGGCGTTCCATGCTCCCAATTGGTGTAACCGAATGCTTCTCCATTTTCCCAATGAAAAGTTCCATTTCTGTTTCTTCTATTACCTGAAGTCCAAAAACCCACTTCTCCTTGGCCTTTGTGAAAACGATTTTAATGTAATAAAAATATTTATTTCCTTTGAAATAAGTTGGATACACGACTCCTCTTACCGGCTTTTTTAATTGCTTCTATGATTTTGTTATTTTGACGTTCTGTTAAAATGCTAATCAATGTCATATTCCTTGAGTGGCATCGTTTAATGGCGTCCATCCAGTTAACCTAAAATCGATAAATTCGAATTGCAGCAGACACCATGATTAAATTTACACTCTTACCCTTGTAGTAAAAATATGATAAGCTCCGACTACGGTTTCATTTGCATATTGCATACCACTAATTGACTCTTGATTGAAAAGCAATATCACAGCAAGCACTAGTACCTTCATTTCGTTGAATGAAAGACTACAATAAAATGTGTATGTACAATGAATATTTGAAATATTGCAGCAGCACTGATCGCGGACGAAAACATTCTAACTTAAATGTTGCCATGATTCTATTTATACGTCTCTGTGTCACCAAATTTTGGATGATATAACATTTGAAGTTTTCTCGGAATAGGAGGTAAAATGATATGCATTCGTATCATTTATCAATTTGCATGCAAATCACAGGCGTTTTATTGTACTCTTCATAATATAAATTCAGCATAGTTGAACAATTTTGATACCGTTTCCTCAGAGACTAATGAAAAGACTCCCCCAAATATTTACAAATAGATACAGCTGAGAAATGTCTAGATACAGCTTTTTCAAAGGGACATTTGAGATGGCTAAATTAATATGCAAAAAAACGCGAAGAAAATAATTGAAGATCATGTTTTTCATCAACAAATGTGTGATTATTTAACTATCGTTTTTATTAGATAAAAAATTCGTCGAATTCACAATTTTAGACATGAAATGTGACTTTTTACTTAAACTTGACGCAAATTGTGTGGTCTTCTAGATCAAAAAAGTTGTAAAGGAGCCTTCATCTTCATGAAATGTGTGAGTAAGAACTGAATAAGAAGAAAAAATTAACAAAACTGAGTCAAATCTAATGCAAATACCCTAAAAGTTAATGCGAATATTATCAGAAAAGAGGAAAAATCAAATCAGAAACTGAAGACATTTTCGAAAAAAAGTGTTAATTTTTTTCATTTTAAACTATTTAACTTACAATTCTTAGTCATGGATGAATGAAATTTTGGTGCTAATAATGATTAATGTTTTTCTTTAATTCTTCACATTTTTGAATCAATTCAATTCGTTTTAGTGCTTTCTCGAGTTTTTGAATAAATTCATTGAATTCTGTATTTATTTTCTGCCATTCTTGTCGCAACTGTGTTTCTTGTTCGTCGAGTTTTTGAATTTCTTGTTCCCAGTGAATTCGATTATTTTCAGCCATTTTCGTGTTTGAAAAAAGTCAATACTGATTTCCAAAATGAATTGTTGAATTTTGAAAAAAATGCAACTTTTAATTCTTTCTTTCGAGACTCGATGAAAGTTTAGCAAAGACTAATTTTTTAAGTTCTATATGCATATGCACCATCTTATATAATTCAGAGAAAAATATAAAAGGATGAAAAATAAACTACATTAAATATACAAAATATAATAATTGTGAACTCACCAAATCTGACTCTTCAAAAAATATTTCACTTGATGCGATCCATATTTTATTATCAGATTAATGTAATTAATTGCAAATTATTTATAATTTAGCTGAAACGATTCCAGTTTTAAACAATCATTTGGCGTCATCAGCATTTTCAACTAGAATTGGTTTATTTTTTATCAAAACAGTCAAGAATTAAAAACAATCAATTTCGATATTGACAGCGCTCATTTGTTTATTTGCAAGTAAAGCGTATAATACAGATAAATTGATGGAAATTAAAATGGGTCCATCTTTCAAACATTTCAGCATTTTTCTGAACAGATGATTAGCTTATGATTGCCGATATTTTTCTATGCTATTCGATACATTAATTCATAAGAATGTTTAATAATTTTTGCAGAGAACAGTCATCTTCGCAGCCGTCTGGTTGTTCATCGTTGAATAAGTGGTTCAAGGACTGAAAAGTTAGAAAAAATAAACAACACTGAGTCAGTCATTTTCGAACAAACATGTTGATTTTTTTGTTTCAAAACTTAACTTACAATTCTTAATCCTCGGTGAATGAAATTTTGGTGCTAATGATTATAGACGGTTGTCAAGATGTTTTGGACCAATTCATTACGTCTTCAAATATATTCATTGAGTATTAGAGTGGTTCGATTTTGACATTTTTTCAAGCATCAAAAATCGGGACCATTTTTTGTTGAATTTTCAAAGTGCTCAAAATTCATAAAAATTCATAAAAATTTGATTTTTTTTAAGAAACCGCCTGGAGCCGCGCATCACCAAAAATCATTTTTTTTCGAATTCGAGTTTATAGTCATGTTTCTATGACCTTTCTACAGAGGTTATAGGGGTACGATTTTTGATGCTTGAAAAAATGTCAAAATCGAACCACTCTATTGAGTATATTCCTTACCACATAGGGTAGTTAAGGATTGCCAGCACTCTTTCCAATGTCCAAATTTTTTCATCGATTTCTCGAATTTCGTGTTCCCACCGAGAGATTCGATAATTTTCAGACATTTTCGCATTTGAAAAAAGTCAATACTGAATTTCAAAATGATTTATTGAATTTTAGAAAAATGCGACTTTATATTATTGGAAGTATAAATATATAATGTCGCATTCGTATCTAACTTCACATCAATTATATGTACCATTGTTTTGACATTGACAGCTATTGTATCTTAAAGAGCGTCAAAAAATCTATTAAAAACCATCTGTCACAATGAACACAAGTTTACACACAAAATTTTTTTATTACGGTGAAAATGTCGACATTCGTGGTATCAAAAGATCATTTGCGGGAAGTGTTAATTTACTTTTTCCATTTGAAGAAAAACGCATCTGAAGCACATCGTTTACTCACTGAAGCTTATCCTGACTATGCTATAGACTTAAGAATGTGTCAGCGTTGGTTTGCACGCTTCAGAAATGGTGATTTTAATGTCGAAGACAAGGAGCGTGCCGGAAGAGAAAAAAAAGTTCGAAGATGAAGAATTGGAGGCATTACTCGATGAAGATCCGTGTCAAACTCAAGAAGAACTTGCAAAATCATTGGGAGTCACTCAAGCAGCCATTTCACAACGTTTGAAAGCAGCAGGATTCATTCAAAAGCATGGAAATTGGGTACCACATGAACTGAAGCCAAGAGACGTGGAAAGACGATATTTCACCTGCGAACAGCTGCTTCAAAGACAGAAAAGAAAGGGATTTTTGCATCGTATTGTCACTGGTGATGAAAAGTGGATTCATTACGATAACCCAAAGCAAAAAAAAGCATATGTGAAGCGCGGCCAACCAGCACCATCGACATCAAAGCAAGATATCCACGGATTTAAGGTAATGCTGTGTATTTGGTGGGATCAACGAGGTGTGGTGTACTATGAGCTGCTGAAACCGAATGAAACCATTGATGGGCCACGCTACCGATTACAATTGAAGCGTTTGAGCCGAGTATTGCGCGAAAAACGGCCAGAATATGAGCAAAGACACGACAAAGTTATACTTCAACATGACAATGCTCGGCCACATGTTGCAAATGTCGTGAAGACATACTTGGAAACACTTCGATGGGATGTGCTACCCCACCCGCCGTATAGCCCAGACATTGCTCCTTCTGATTATCACTTGTTTCGATCGATGCAGGACAACCTGGCTGATACACGATTTACTTCTTCTGAAGAAGTCAAAAATTGGGTCGATTCATTCATCGCATCAAAAGATGAACAGTTCTTCCGACACGGAATCCGTATGCTACCAGAAAGATGGGAAAAAGTAGTGGCTAGTGATGGGCAATACTTTGAATAACACTATTGTACAACCTTTTTCTCAATAAACGTTCAAATTTTGAAAAAAATGCGACATTATATATTTATACTTCCAATATTTCTTTCAATACTCGATGGAAGTTGAACAAGGACTAATTTTGTATGTTCAATGCGTATATAATATAAAAAGACAAAACAATGTATTAAATATACAAAATATAATTGCGGACTCAAATCTGACTCTGCAAAAAAAAATATTCGTTTAATGCGATCGATATTTTATTCTCTGGTTACTTGTTTATTTCAATCGATATCATATTAAAAAAAATTTCATCGTTTTCAAATTGAATTTCTTTTCTTTATATCGCTGAAACGAACTGATGTTTGTACCAAAATACCTCGTGACTCATTTCTTGATCTGTATTTTTCTGGTACTTTTAATTTATTATCAGATAAATTGTATAATGAAATGCTTACGCTTTACATAAATACTTTGATTAAAATTGAATTTCTGAAACATCTGCTGAAACAGCTCAATTGATATGACTGAATCACTTATTAAATACCGAAAAAGTAAATTCTAAGTAAAATCTAGTGTGAGATGATTCTCAATGGGAGGGTTTTGTCCCCAACTCCCCTCCCCCTGTAGGTACGCCACTGGCCTTACAAGCGGAAGAATAAACATATTTAGATATTATATTTAGATCTAGTGCTTTTGTAGCGAGAATAAGTGTTTTTTCCACAATCAGACCCGATTTCAAGGTACAACAGAGGGCAGGGGCAATTTACAATGTACGGCGAATATACGTATTTTTCATGATGAATCAAGTTGTGGTGTCAGTTTTTTGTGATTTTTAGCATTTTTTCCACTTTATAACCCTTTCCTACCCCATATGAATGGAGGGCGGACCCAATTATGATATCATTTGAATTGCTGGAGTGTTCTGAACATTTCACAATGATGAATTGTTGCTCGCATGTCACCCCTTCTGTGTTAAAAATGCATCTGATGTGATGAAACCAGAAGTCATATGATGATTTTTGGCCTTCGATACCCGGGGGCAAAATTAGGAGGAAATGGGCAACCAAAGTTATATGCCAATTAATTATACATGGCTAGAAGTAACTTTTGTGGGAAGAAACATATATACCCATTTCAGTTATAAAGGGTGAAAAAAGCATTGACATGATTTTTTAAAATTTGGACCCAAATTTCAGGTACAGGGGTTACTTTGGGGAAATTACAATGTATAGTCGTTGACAAAACAATGTTCCTACTATGAAAATCACAGATGTATATTACACTGTAATACACGCTGCGTTCTATAATCGCTATAATCTATATGCTATGGCTGTATTTGTGTTCTGATTATTCGAAATGAATTGTTATGCACAAAAACACGTTTTATTTCTCATTTGTATTAGTTCATCTAATTGCGTATATACAAATTATGAATTCCATGAGTTTCAAGTTATCCATTTGGTGCCTCAAAATTTTAAGCATTGCATTGGTTCAGTGGTTACGCTTACGGTGCATGACACTGAAAGTCTCAGGTTCGATTCCGTGTGAAAACAATTTTTTTTTTTCATCTTTTTTTCTTTTTTTTTTATTTCATAGTTTTTTTGCATTGCTCTATTTTTTATGAATGGAAGAATCAAGAAAAAAAATGATTCATCGTTCATTTGCTTCAAAAACAAGACATTTCGCCATAAAATGTTAATAAGATTTAATATGTCTAGTTTCAAAGCAAATGAAAGATAAATATTTTTTTTTCTTGTTTCTTCCACTCATAAAAAATGGAGCAATGCAAAAAAACTATGAAATAAAAAAAAATAAGAAAAAAAGATGAAAGAAAAAAAAATGGATAACTTGAAACTCATGGAATTCATAATTTGTATATACGCAATTAGATGAACTAATACAAATGAAAAGAAACATCAACATACAAATAAGCTACAGAAAATGCTGCTTTAGTGTTTGTATTTTTGTATGTATTTTTGGAACATTGTTTTGTCAACGACTATACATAGTATATGAGTAGTTTTTTGTGAGGAATCCAAATATATAATTATATTTGAGGTTTGATGGGGTTTGGACCTCATTTCGGGGTATATTTGAAAATTTTGTAGGGGGACCCCCCTTGGGGGTGGGGGGAGGGGATGCCCAATGGCCTGAATGAAATGTGCGTATAAAATTAGTTATTGTGGGCCATACATTTGAGTGCAAAATTCCGCACCCAAAAAGTGAAAAATCGACTTTTTATCATTTGACCCCAATGGGGGAGGCACTAAATTGTTGGGAGACCTGGGGTGAATGGGTACGAGACAAACATCATTTCTAGGGTATTTTGGCACGCTGATTCCAAATTTCGAGGTTTCGAGTCAAAAAAATCATGGGTGAAGGAGTTATGACCCCCAACCCCCCTTGGAGGGCAGGGGTCATAAAAAATTTCTCTCGTCATTCTGAACAACTTTGTAGTACATTATTTTTTGATCCGATGAAGTTTTGATAATGGGGGGTGCCCCCCTGCCCTTAATACCCCGACTCCGCACCCCCAATTTTCACAAACTCATTTTCTCCGCACATTCTATCCAATGGACATATGCCCATCTAAATCGGCGAGTTACACCATGGTACTATTACTGGTAAGAAATAAAATTCTCGATAAGTGTTTCATTTTCATAAAATAAAGTGAACTGAAATTTACAGTCCGATTTAATGAGTATTCTTTGAACTGGCGCTTATCAGCGAAAGACCACTGAACAAGCTTATCAGACATTTTATTGAGATATTTTCAGCTAGACGAATCAGCTCAGGCAACTGACTTCAGGCGCCGAAATGTAGCAACAACATCAGAAGTAATTGTTATGGTTATAAAAATTCTTAAAAACAAAATAACAACATAGCAGCCTGAGCTGATAAAATATCTCAATCTTATGTCTAAAGCTATATATTCTCACAAGAATTGATTTCATTAGAATGTTGATATGCCAAAATTTCGTTTAGTCGGTATAATTGCAGATAAGAAATTCTTTCGGTGACAGTTAATGAAATCAGTCCTATTTATTCCACTTTACTGCTTTGTTACAAGAAAAGATGAAAAATAAAAAAATGTTGAAACTTTATTTTTTGTGTTTTGTTTTTATTCAAATAAATGCACAAACCACGGAAAATAGTACGGAAACTACCACGCAAACTATCACGGAAACTACCACGGGAAATTACACGGAAACTACCACGGAAATAATATCATTGCTCATTAAGAATCCGGTAAGTGTAATCGAAAAATATCAATAGTGAAATTCAAATGAGTGTCCGAAAATCTTCTTCTTATCAAGTATAATTGAAATTTTCATAGAAATTATATGAGATTTATTGAAATTCGCTAAAGAATTATCTCATGTAAATTGTAGTCTCACAATTTTGCCAATTTTTATGTGTAAATTTATTGAAAAATATAACCAAAATTTCTAATTATTATTTCTCAATTTTGATTGGACTTAAATACTGGCAGGAACGTCCACTGTATTTAATTCCAGGAAAACTTAGTGTTGGAAGCAAGATTGAAATATTTGGTCAAATGCTTCGTCCATACATAAATAACTTTGAGATTAGCTTATCTGATTCTAGCAATAGGAATGAGCATGACATAATATTCCATATGTCCGTTCGTATTAACGAAAATGTCATTGTTCGAAACCTCTTGAAAAATAGATTATGGGGTGCAGAAGAAAGTAATGATGGAATTCCATTTCAAAGCGGTGACGAATTTAAAATGGTTATTTTGATTAAACGGGACACTTTCGAGGTATATCAGTTTTTGATATTTGCATTTTTCAAATTACGTTTATTCATGAATCACATATATTTTTCAATTTGAAATAAAAAGGTTGACATAAACGACAGTCAATTCTGTGACTTTGTGCATCGTCTTCCATTGGAATCCGCAAAATATTTGCACATCGAAGGTGATGCTAAAATTTATAGTGTCGAAATTCAAATTAACCATCGTAAGTAAATGAGACAGAGATGTCATATATTGTCAGCATTTTAATTACAATTAATACTACCATTTTTACAGCAAAACAACCGGAATAAGAATCAACTGAAGCACATATTTTTTATCAAATCACGTCACCAAACATCACGCGCTTGAGTTCTAAATATACGAATGCTCATAGGTTTAATAAAAAACTGTTATCTGCTATTATTCAAAAGATTAAAAAAATACAAAAAAAAATGCTTAAACATATGAACTTGAATTTGTTTTTCAATTCCGGCTCATCCTTCTACGATAGAAGTTCTGTCTCATGCTAAGAATAAATCATACCAAAAAATATATTGCTTGATGACACGAATTTGAAACTAATGAAAAAATGTGTAAAGTAAACACAAAATTGATTTTGCAACACAAAATCAACAATTTGGAATCACAAAATCAACAAATATTTTCCGATCAAAATACACTTCAACCGAAATACATCGATTTGAAACTTCCAAATTGGAAGTACTCACTGAGAGCTTCTCAATGTGACACTGAATAATGAACGTGTACCTTATCAATTGAAAAAAAGTAAAGCAAAAACAATGAATAATAATCAATGCATAACAATGAATTCTGAGAATTATCAAACCATTTCATTCGAATTAAAATTAACGTAATTATCTATTGTATTTAAAGCATTTTTTTCGATGTGATAAATTTGATTTCCATGCATATCCGATGTTTTAACTTCCGTCTTCTTTTCGTATTTACCACGAAACTTATTTTCTACTTGAACACAAAGATGGCGCTGTCATGTGTTTTCATATTGACTTCTACTAAAGATACGCTCCACTGAATGATCCTTCATCGAAATCTACTTAAGATACTTAAACTCCGATGAAAAATACGACTGAAAAACTCCTATTCAGAATAAATTCCATTCCATATTGATGTTTGACCACAGCTTTCAGCTTCAATATAACCCTTCAGTTGCAGTAGCTTGAACTATAGCTTCTCTCTGAATTTGGTTGAACAAGCTTGCTGAATGTAAGAATCACGCGATGATCATTTATCATGTCATGAATTTCCAATTATCTCATTAGTAGCTCATCACTGCGTAGTAATTGTAGCCAAAAGTGAAAAAAGCATAGATGAAATTGAAAACAAGACAAAGTTATTCGTTATTCGCAAGTAAAACGATCATATTTTTCAGAGAGGGCTAGGTTCACTCCCCTTTTTATTTGTGATAACAAAGGAATGCCATGAATGTTGTTCGAATGAAAAGAGCAAAGAAAAAAAACATCATCTTGTGTTGGCTGTAAACATCGAAAAGAGATGAATTCCAAGCAAAAATTCTGGTTGTTAACAAACAAAGTATTCTATTCCACTATTCAATATGTTGAACAACGTCATGTAATATTCCGCCATGATCTATATACATATTTATATTTTATAAATATTGTTGTTGCTTTTTTGAAAATAGGGAAAAAATCGCTGCAGAAATATATCATGACCTTCTAGCAAGTTTGATGTCATTTTTTTGTTGTGTATGTGTGTATGCCAAAGCAATTGAAGACAAACCGATGAAGGGAAAGACGCGTTTAACGAAGGGTGCATTGTCTAAGAATCGTCATTCTCTTTTTTTTCGCTTCGTTTTCCTTACATTACCCAATGTATTACGAAGTAATAAAACGCAGTCAAATATCGTACGCATTGAATCACAATAAAAATCGAAAAATTAATTCTTGTTGCCTCGTTGTTAGCAGCGTGCAGTCACTGTGCATTAGTTTGCATCATACACTGTACACAGCACTTCTATCTGTATGAATAATGAATGTCGTCGTTCCTTTTATTTCGTGCGCTTGAAAAAAAAAGAAGAAATGTGATTACATGAAAGCCAAACGAGTCCGCATTGATGGCAAATCTCGTGCTCACAATTATGTACGGATGGTATGGGATCGCATCGTTGTTGGAGCACAGGCTCGGCAAAACTGGCTCCAACCAAAAATGAAATGAGGACCAACACCGATTTTGAATCACAGTGTTTGTGTTATGGACAAGTACAAAGAAAACAAATTAAATGAAGACAAATCTTCCATTGGCAATCGAGATTAAGGTCGGCATTTTTGGCACAGACTTTAAATCATTTTACCCTTCATATAGCAAACCAAATATTTTCAAGTGAACTTGATAAATGTGTGCGAACATCATGATTCATAGTTCAGCTGGAGGCTGGCACAGTTTTTCACAAACGGCGACAATAATTTGTACAAAATGCACAATGTCATAAACAACGTCGCATTGAGATGAAAAATCAACAAATTTCAATGTTAAATGGAATTTGTATACGTCAATAATTAAACAATACGGACATTTCTTTCTCTGTTCCTTGTAGACACGGAGCACCAAAATGTAAACTTCAATTTCATATTACCACATATTTTATGCATACATTAGCACGATTTTGGTAAATCAAAAGTGAAATGTTTCATTTTTTAGTATGCTATTGCATTATTTTCTATGAATACTGAGTTCTTCAGTTAATTCCAATGATGATTAGAATCTAATCGCATACTCAAATTTCAATAATACATGTTTTGCTCAAACTGAAGTTGTTGAACCGCACAAATGTGGGTAGATTACATTTAATAAGGAACACTATTTTTTGTTCAACATTTTTCTCAGAAGAGCATGGTTGAATTTTCGTAGCTTGAAGCCGTGTGGCGATAAATACTATATAGAGAATTAAAAACTATGTGAAATATCCGCAATAACAATTAAGTACAACGGTTTGATTGTAGGATCTTCAACTGTAATGAAAATTGTCCAACAATCACTAATTAAATTATTACTCTTGACGTTGAAATTTCAAGCGATGTAAAATGTTAAAATCTTTAATTGATTGACTTGTGATTTGAATTAAAACTATATTTCTGAATCTTAACATTAATGAGACGATGGACAGAGCTGATATTTTCACTATGATAGTGCGCAGTAGACTTTGCTCTCATGGATTGTGTCATAATGCCTATATTTTTCATGTGCACACACATTTAGATAGAACTTTGACAATTCAAATAATAGTTTTGAATTTTTCGATTACTGTCAAACTTCTGTGTTTGCAAATTTAGAATATAGGCATTGTATGCGCCACATGCAATTGTAATGACAAGATTGACTACTATTGCTAAGAATAGCATTCTTTAAATGATTTGAAATGAAATGTTTAAAGGAATGACGAGGAAGTGAAATGCTTGAAGAAATGGAAGGGGAAGAGCAAAATAGTGCATAAAACACAGTTAGTACAGAATCGATCATTTATAGTGGCCTATATCAACCAACTTACGGAAAATATGAATGGATGAAAAACTTAAACACAGAAATAATTCGGAGCCACTTTTTTATGAATAATAAAATGTTCGAAATGTTAACGAATCAATTTCTTTGTTTTTTCTTTGTGTATTTTATTAAATTGAATTTCTTTTGAGCAAACGAGAAATTATCGCTAAGAATAGCACCAATACCATTTGGTTTGATTATATATCATGTTGCTTTAAGATAATTGATCTGAATTGTTTTCCGGTGAAGAAGAATATGCACACAAGAGCATGAGAAGAGCTCAAACCAAATGGTATTGAGCGTACACAGGTAAAATGGGAAGAAGTTCAACAGACGATGGGTGATAATATGACATACGGGAAAAAAAACCATCATAAAGTGAATAGAGAATGAGAAAGAAAAACAGACAAACACGATTTAAGCACTGTTTTTTTTCTCGTTTGTTTTGCTAGCATGCAGCAGCAGCAGCAGTGTGTGCTATGTTGGAGGTAGTAGCAAAACCAATACCGCAAGCAAAACGAGATAGAATCGAAACGTTCAGAGATGAGCGATAAAGGAAATTGAAAATCAACCAAAACAAAGAGCAAATGTGTTAAACGGAATTGAACACGATGGTGTTAAATATACTTTAAAACCAGTAGCCAACGTTACATTGGATCCGTGTTTGTTTACCGTGTACATGGTATGTTTGGTCTTCATTCTCAAACGGTAACGAAGCGATTGAAAAAAATCGAAAAATTAATTGGATTTTCAAGTATTTGCAAATGGTGCGATATGAATAAATTTTCTTTTTTTTCGGTTTGGCAATATGTTTTTGAACTTGGCGGTCTCCATGCCACACACGCATATCGTACAATACAATAATCGATTACGATTTGGTACGTGTGTGATGTTATGGCACGAAACAATGAACATTGTATGAGAACTTGGACAAAATCATATTGGCTACACTCTCATGAACACACACATACACACTCATACGTTCACGCGCTTTGACATTTCTGCTGAACAAAATATTGGCAAAGTGGCTGGCATTTCTGTTGCTGCCGATGGCAACGACAATGTCGATGCTCTGTTACCATATCGATGTGAATGAGAGTGGATGCTAAATTTGTTAATGTATGCTAAAATGCGCGCACTAAAGACTAAAACGCATGACACTCGAACTGTAAACGGTGTAGGCACGACACTCAATACATCTACATTAAGATCGGTTTTGTTCTGCTTTTGCAAATCGACGACACATCTATGAAATGTAATACATACACATACACATATGCCATACCATATGACAGGATAAAACGAGACAGTGATAAAGCAAATGATGTGTGCACATACACTCACACACACACACACACACACACCGTTCGGTTGTTCACACAAATGCACCCGAAAATACACACAAACCATATTTACACAAACATGTGTTCGCACCCATACACCGGCAAATATACACGCGCGCGTACATACAATAAGAGAGTGAAACGAGTGTAAACGAGAGAATCAACGTTGAACAGCACTTTGAAGACGCATCCGAGTCGTAGCAACGTTCAGTTATTGAATCAAATTCAATATGGCCACTTCGTGTCGGACGCAGCTATACGGAGAATATCTGATTCGAAGCATATACAAACAAAACCAATAAACGGTGTTAAAAACGTTTAAAGAAAGAAGCAGAAAAAAACCATTACAATAATCGAATCGAGAGTGAATAAAAAAAACTAACGTAAAAACAGTCGATTCGTTGCTAAATATTGTTTGAATTTTTCAAAATTGATTCGATACATTCGTTTGCTTATATTAGTTTGGTTGCAAAAAAAAAAAATCGCGTAATCGGAAGTGTCATTTTGTGCATATACCTCGCGAACTATTGTTTTTTTTTGTAATTTCGGTTTGTGTTTATAGCAATTAATAATTGTTATAAATAT